ATGGTAGGAGACCCAGGAGGACCCCACTGCTGCCACAGAAATATGGTAGTAGACCCAGGAGGACCCCACTGCTGACACGGAAACATATTGGAAGCCAGATTGGAGTTTGCATATCCCCTTGATAAAGTCACGAGACTAGTGACGAAACGCATCGGGGAGGAGTGTGCGGATGACGTCACAACATTGCCATTCATCGAGATAGCGGCCTGTAGTACTCTACAAACGGCTCTTGAAACGGCATTACAGCAGGCAATAGCATTCATTGAGTGGGCCCCGTGCTTTGCTTTGCATTTTAGGACAGATGGGGTCTGTTTTGAGCTTGTACAGGACTCTGCTGCTGAGATGATACTGCCATCTAGTGTTTAATCAGTACATCACGGGATCTCATCATGCCTGGTGCAAAATACACCTCCGGAACGTGAGTGTATTTCTTATGTTTTAAATTGATGAATAAACGTTTATAAGGATAAAGCACTACTGTATGTGTTCTTTTTTTAATGAGGAATACGGCTGATACAAAGACGCTCATCAGGACGGAGCTTACTTTGGAGTCTTCATTCAGCGAGCTGATCTTCTGAGTCCATCTGGGACCAAAAGTGCAGTTAGACCGTAACATTGTATAATGTGAGGTCACACCGCGTGAGGGGAGCAGATATATGGTGGAGGAAGTCTTTGCACAAATTGATGACAGATTCACATATTTTCATTATCCAAAGGAAGGGTCACTGAATGAACACTTCATTAATTGAACTTGGTTTTTTTCATACTTAAAATATTTTTTATATATTTTTATTTTTTTTTTGGTTACTATATATATATATATATATATATATATATATATATATATATATATATATATATCTGCAAATGTTTGTAGAGGCTACATGTACAGTTTGCAAGAAAAAGTATGTGAACCCCTTGGGATTACGTGGAGTTTTGCATGAATTGGGCATTAAATGTGCTCTGAACGTCATCTAAGTCACAACAATAGAAGAACACAGCTGCTGAACATAATACTACACAAACATTAGATGTTGCCATGGTTTAATTGCACATAACATGTAAACATTCACAGTGCAGGGAGGAAAAAGTATGTGAGGCCCTAGCTTAATGACTTCTCCCAGAGCTAATTGGAGCCAGGAGTGAGCCAACCTTGACTCCAATCAGTGTGATGATATTGGATGTGTTGCTGACAGCTGTCCTGCCCTTAAAAAACACACACCTGTTTTGGGTTTTACTGGTTTCAAGAAGCACTGTCTGATGTGAACCATGCCTCGCAGAAAAGAGCTCTCAGAAGACCTACGATCAAGAATTGTTGACTTGCAAGAAGCTGGAAAGGGTTACAAAAGTATCTCCAAAAGCCTTGATGTTCATGTGTCCACGGTAAGACAGACTGTCTACAAATGGAGAAAGTTTAGCACTGTTGCTACTCTCCCTAGGCGGGGTCGTCCTGTAAAAATGACTGCAAGAGCACAGCGCAGAATGCTGCATGAGGTAAAGAAGAATACCAGAGTGTCAGCTAAAGACCTACAGAAATCTCTGGCACATGCTAACATTTTTGTTGACACATCTACAATAAGGAAAACATTAAACAAGAAAGGAGTACATGGGAGGACACCACGGAGGAAGCCATTGCTGTCCAAAAAGAATATTGCAGCACATTTGAAGTTTGCAAAAGAGCACCTGGATGTTCCACAGCACTACTGGCAAAATATACTGTGGACAGATGAAACCAAGATTGAGTTGTTTGGGGGAAGAACACACAACACTATGTGTGGAGAAAAAAAGGCACAGCACACCAACATCAAAACCTCATCCCCACTGTGAAACATGGCGGAGGGAGCATCATGGTTTGGGGCTGCTTTGCTGCCTCAGGGCCTGGACGGATTGTTGTCATTGATGGGAAAATGAATTCCAGAGTTTATCAAGACATTTTGCAGGAAAACGTACAACCATCTGTCCGCCAACTGAAGCTCCGCAGAGGATGGGTGATGCAACAGGACAATGACCCAAAGCATACAAGTCATTCAACAAAACAATGGCTGCAACAGCACAGAATACGCCTTCTGGAGTGGCCCAGTCAGAGTCCTGACCTCAACCTGATTGAAATGCTGTGGCATGAGGTTATTGCTGCCAAAGAAGGGTCAACCAGTTATTAAGTCCAAAGGTTCACATACTTTTTCCTCCCTGCACTGTGAATGTTTACATGTTATGTGCAATTAAACCATGGCAACATCTAATGTTTGTGTAGTATTATGTTCATCAGACTGTGTTCTTCTATTTTTGTGACTTAGATGACGTTCAGAGCACATTTTTATGCCCAATTCATGCAAAACTCCACGTAATCCCAAGGGGTTCACATACTACTTTTTCTGCAACTGTATGTATAATATATATATATATATATATATATATATATATATATAAAAACATATAAATATATTATATATATATATATATATATATTATATATATATATAATATTATATAAATCTATATCTATATTTCTATTTTAATATTAATATTTTTTCCACTTCTATTTTTCTTCTAATAATTATTTATTTATATATTTTTTCATCTTGTTTAATGGTTTGTTTATGTAGCACAGCATTTTTTCATATCACTTTGATTGTATATTTGTCCCACTGAGACATGGGTTGTGTGCACTACTAGCGGCTACAGCAATATTATTTTATTTTTGTTTTTTTCACCATAGTTAGCGCATGAGTTATTCAATATATATTTTAGATTTAACCAGTGCTCTGCTGGACACTGATAGAAGTCACAAAACTGCTATATACTGCTGATGACAAAAGATATTTAGCAGTTTATATTTACTAAAATAATTGCATTTCCATGTTGTGTGTACTGTAGGAGATCGGATATAGTGAATGCAGGGTCCGGGGAGAGCGGATATAGTGAATGCGGGGTCCGGGAATGAGAGCGGATATAGTGAAATGCAGGGTCCGGGGAGAGCGGATAGTGAATAGTGAGACCAGATGCAGGGTCCGGGGAGACCGGATATAGTGAATGCAGGGTCCGGGGAGACCGGATATAGTGAATGCAGGGTCCGGGGAGACCGGATATAGTGAATGCAGGGTCCGGGGAGACCGGATATAGTGAATGCAGGGACCGGGGAGAGCGGATATATTGAATACAGGGTCCGGGGAGACCAGACATTGTGAATGCAGGGACCGGGGAGACTGGATATAGTGAATGCAGGGTCCAGGAAGACCAGACATAGTGAATGCAGGGTCCGGGGAGACCAGATATAGTGAATGCAGGGCCTGGGGAGACCAGATATAGTGAATGGGTCAGGACAGTGGCATCCCTAGGCAGGTGCGGGGGTTGCAGACTGCACCAGGTGACACCTATCGCACGGGGTGACACTGGACCTGCTCCACCAAAAGGTAAGTTTTAAAGTAAGCTGATGATTCCTGCAGGATGGATTGGATCTGCGGATTGAGCATAATGGATCGGAGTCCGATCCATTATGCTCAATCCGCAGATCCAATCCATCCTGCGGGGATCGTCGTAGGGTTGATACCAAGTGTTATCGCACCAGGTGACACCAACCCTAGGGATGTCCCTGATGCAGGGTCCTGGGTTTAGTAACACAGATAGGTGCAATTACTTCATTACATCAGCACCAATCTCTGCATCATCCAGAACTACCCTATGCCATTGAAGAGGTGGAGAGGACCATCATGTCACGTGACCATCTTGAAGACTTCTGGAAAAAGTAAGTATAAAGCAAACTAAAGCATAATGTAATATAATATAATTTACAATATTTTAAAGTCTGCAGCTATCATTAAGTTTGACACCTGGTGATCTCAAAAAATACATAAAGATCTCAGTTCAGGCACTTCCTGTTTTAGGGTGACAACACTCTGACCTTGTCTCCCAATTGTCCAACGGTGTTGTCACCTTTTCACATGGGGTTCGAATGGAGACTACAAGTGGCCAATATAATAAATAATCATAAAAAATAATATAAAAATAATAAATGTAATTTAATATTATAATCAAACCAAAAACACTGAAATGTGAAATATAGCGCCAAGTTCGCACATCGCTGAGCAAAGTCGCAGAATCGTTTTCAGTGTCTGATGAGGAATTTCCCCCATGAATCATTATCACTCAATTCTGCAAGTGGTTCTGATTTACTATCGCTGTTCTCTAGCCGGTCTAAAACCGCTTTTGACCTAAAGGGACGCATTTTGGACGCCATGGACGTTTCTCAGTTTCCAGGCAGAAAGAACAGTAAAAATGCAGGCAGGGCGCCGGACAAAGCACTCGGGACACAATGTATGTGAAATGGTTTGATACAGGAATGGAATACTGTGTGATTTTAGTGTATTGAGTGAATGTCCATGGCGCCCCCATTTGGAAACTCGGGCACTGCCAGAGGGCCCGGGGTCAGTAGGGGGCCCCATGAGATGCCCCTGCTACCTTTTTTCCATAGGCTTTTTTTGAGTTTGGGCAAGGACACAGGGGCCCCATGATCCCCTATTGCCCGGGGGCCCCATGAGTTGTCAGTCTGCCCCTGGTTGGAGGAGATGGCTGGGGATGCTGCAGGGGGGACATCACGGGAGCGCAGGACAAGGTAAGTGCTGGAGGGAATCCCAGAGCAATGCTGCAGTGTATTCCCGAGTGTAGCTCGGGGTTACCGCTTTTGGTACTGAAAGTTAACCCCGAGCTACACTCAGGAATACCGCCGGGGTGGGGGGTTAACTGAACAAACTGAAGTTGGAAGCTGATTGGCCACCATGCACATCTGCACCAGATTTTGCACTCCTGCATTTTAGTAAAACAACCTCCATGTGCCTAATGTCATATCCTGGAGGTCTACCTAACCATCTTCGAGTCACATCCACCAACTGACATTGCCCATTCAGTTTTCCATAGGTCTACGGCCACCTTGACTCGGTCATCACCCACTAAAGACTAAATTCGATTTGGGTGGACTCGCCCTCTGGAAGCGTTGGTTTCACAGCCTATGGATTTAAAGAGAAAGCAATGCCTGGTCCGACATAGTAAAATGGATAGACAGGCTCGGAGAACCTCTCAGTGAAAGTGTGGAGGAGCCTGTAAGTGTCCACATCATAAAAAGACACCTTCCCTTGGTCATAGTCCAGGTAAGTCCCGACTCTCTGTATCCGCCCAGGTTCAAACACAATGGGCACTGGTGGGGTGTACAGAGCATAGTAACCTTCTCTTGTTCCTCGAATGGCATATATCAAAGCTTCAGGACATTCTCTTTGACCTCCGGTCCTCCTCACTGACTTGCTGGCTATCCCAAGAGACCAGAACTCTCCATTCCTCTCCAAAATCTCTGTCTCCCAATAGTGGGTGCCTGACTGGAAGGCGGCCTGACAGAGGACACAAGGCTCGGTGTCAAATCTCTCTTCGTTTTGGGGGACATCTTGGACCACATCCGTGGTTGAGATGGTGCGACTGTCCGGAGAGACCAGAAGGCCACAAAAAGCAGTAGAAGGATCAAACAAAATGGATTCTGGAAGAAATGTTTCAATTAAAAATCAATTGATTATTACTATCATTACAGGACAGTTAGGATTATTCAGTATATTTGACAGAATACGTTACAATCTGATTGGTCTGTTCCATTCAAAAATGGGGAAATAAACAAACAAAGTGACGTTCTTTTTTGTTCAAGTCGGTTAACAAAGTGGCAACTAGTCACTCTGTAAGCCCAAATTCCTGATATTTCACTGTTTTGAAATGCGTGCTGTCAGGACTTTTGTTCTCAGAGAATAGGTGCAGGAACTCCGCCCCTTCTGAGTCCCCCTTGTCTCCGCCCTCTACCATCCTTTGAGCACTGTCACTTGGTTCCACCCCCTACTCACCTCCCAGTCCCGCCCCATTTAGAGAATACAGAGCCAAGTATCATTTTGTGGTGCCAAATAATTTGTATGAATGAGTTTATGATAACAATAAAAGCAGTACAATAGAGCCCCTACAGCCAGCAACAATAGATCCCCCACACAACAGCAGACTCGTCCAGCAACAATGGATCCTACCATAGCAACAATAGAGCCCATTCAAGCAACAAGAGATCTCCTGCAGCAACAAATAGACCCCACCCCAGCAACAATAGATCCCCACATAACAATAGACCCCCCACACACACACACACAGCAACAATGGATCCTACCAAGCAACAACAGACCCCACTCAAGCAACAATAGATCGCCACATAACAATAGACCCCCCCCCCCACACACACACAGACCCCAACAATCGTTCATACCACAGCAACAACAAACCCCCCACTCAAGCAACAAGAGATCCCCTGCAGCAACAAATCGACCCCACCCCCAACAACAATAGATCCCCACATAACAATAGACTCCCCACACACGCACAGCAACAATGGATCCTACCACAGCAACAACAGATCCCACTCAAGCAACAAGAGATCCCCACACAACAATAGACCTCCCCCACACACACAGCAACAATGGATCCTACCACATCAACAACAAACCTCACTCAAGCAACAAGAGATCCCCTTCAGCAATAAATAGAGCCCACACTAGCAACAATAGATCCCCCCACAACAATAGACCCCCCACAGACACACACACAAAACAATGGATCCTACTACAGCAACAACAGACCCCACTCAAGCAACAAGAGATCCCCTGCAGCAACAAACAGACCCCACATTAGCAACAATAGATCCCCACACAACAATAGACTCCCACACACAGCAACAATGGACTACCCACAGCAAAATACCATCTCCAGCAACAAAGAATCCACCCCAGCAACATTAGACCCCCCAGCAGCAACAACAAATCTCCCAGCAACCAGCATCAATAAACCCTCCAGCAGTCGGCAACCTCTCCCTCAAAGGCCAAAATTAAAATTAAGTTAGATCAAGCCCCCCAAAAATGGTAAAGTCCCAACAGACACAACCAGCACCTTTACTGGGTTGGGTCACTTCCTGTGGGCCAAGAAAGTCATGGACATAATCCCAGAGAGTGTGTCATCACATTGGCCTGGAGTCACTTAGGAGAGCAGTACTGATGTCATAACGAGTAGTTTTCTACATAGCTGTAGATAGGTGCTAGGTTAGGTACATTTAGTTCTGGGCTCACTGTAGTCAGTTGGGCTGCACGTGATTAATTTGTTCTGTGTTTCACTGGCTGAAGGGTTGACTGCTTCCTCCTGTCTGTCTGGAAGAGTTCTAGAGGATACTGGACTGGGAGAGTCATATCTGCAGCTGAATATTTATGCATCCCTGGCCAATCCCTGGGGAGTGTTGCCCAGATGGTGGCTGGGAGGGAGCATAAATATCCAGTGTCTTAGAACAGAAGGATTCTTGTCCAGGAGGAGGAAATCCCAGCCTGGAGGGCTACTGTCCTTCCGGGCAGGCCTGCCATGTGTCTGCTGCTTATGCAGCCCAAGCTATGCTACCTAGGGGGCCTATTCTGCTGAAATTCACTGGAGCTGACTGAGGGACCTTTTCTGGGGTTCAGGACTGTTGGATTGGAGGCATCCAATTATCTAAGAACATTAGTGAGTACAGACTGGTGTGAGAGATCCCTGAGACAGTCTGCTGCTACTATCCCTCTTATGCTACAGCCAGCTTTGCTCAAAGGGACATTGTTCATGGTGTCCTGGTAAACCTTAGTCCAAAAATGGCTGTAGGCAAGGGCTTTGCTCAGATTCCTGGAGGAAGATTAGTGTCCTTGAGTTCTTAAAGTTACTGGAGTATCCCACAATTACCCTATATGTTCAAGTTCCACAATAAAGCATCAGAAAAGCATACCCCTAAACTGATTAGTGAGCCAAGAGAGTGACTGGTACCTGGCTGTGGGTGAATCTACTGAGAAGGAGCCTAGGGGCCTAAACAGCGCGGCTCCTACAGGAGTGAATGCTACATAGCATTGAGAACAGCCAACCACCAGAGTAGAAGAAAAAGGACCATCCCATGACTGGCCACGTAACAGCAGTATTCAAGGTATGTCAAGAGAAATGTTGCCGAGGTGTGGGGAGGCAGGGGGTGTCGAAGGCTGGTGCAGTTGGGCTTTGATGGCGGTCCAACCAGTAGCATATATTCATCTTCCCTTCCCCCCCACCCAACTCCTGCTGGCTGGGAGCAAAGGAAGACTTCCAATTATGAGGGAGTATGTGATATAGGGGCAAAGAGAGTCCTGTGTAAACTGTAAGTCCTGACATCGGGGCATGCAACCAGACTTTCATCAACCCAGCAACCTATCACCAGGTCTTTAGATCAGTCTTTCTCAAGCTTTTCAACATAGAGAAACCCTTGGAAGAAATTTCTGTTCTCAGGGAATCCCTACTAGGTCTACAACTCATGAAAAATGATTGTGATGGTCACTGGGAAAAATACTTCTTACACTTGGACATTGGGAAGAATTCCCACCTTACTGATAGCTAAAAAGGTCAATGGTGTCAGTGGAAACTCTGAGAGGCAGAAGTTGCTCATTGCTCAAGGAACCTCTAGCAACTTTTGGAGGAACCTTCAGATTTCATGGAACCCTGGTTGAGAAACCCTGCTTTAGATCATGTCATGGTGTTGAATCCAAACTGATGATGGTAGGCCACATTCAATCATTTGAGCACTTTTGGAACTGGTTGATTACATTTTCCTAAAATATACCATTTTTGTGGCTAGTGCAAGACTAAAGTGAAAACCATGGGGTGACCAACTTGGCTAAAATGTTCAAATGAAATGATCACATGACACTACAACAGGCAGTGGATGCACATATCTACTCACCTTTTATAATGGAAATCTTCCTCCATTCTAAAAACAAGAAAAAAATGGGGATGATATTTTTTGTTGTTAGTTTTGTTGGTCGTTACAGCACAAATGTTGGTCTGTCACTCAATGAAATTAAATCTGCAAATATTACACATTTTCTTTGTTAAGAGAAAAAAGAAAATAAAGTTGTAGTAATATTGAACATGGACCCCCATGCTGTCACTCTCTGATGATACTTTCTCTATATCAGGGGAGTAAGATGAAGTCTGGAAGGGTGAAAATCTCACTGCAGCTTTTTTCCAAATTCTAATTTAGCCATGCACCCATGTTTTCTCAATTGTACTTTACAACTCTTTAGATGTGGTGGCTGCATTCATTTTTTTTTTTAAGGCTGAGAACATTTTTTTCTCAAGTACTATATATGTTGATCCTGCCCGAAACGTGGTGTCCTTGTCACTTCCTGAGCTTAACTGGAAGCACAAACAATGTTATCTTCCTTCTATAAACTAACAACCCCCTTCTCCCCTCCTCCCTCTTTCACACATGGGTGTTCCGTATGTCCGTTTTTCATTTATCTGTTTTACGGATGAAAAACGGACACCCATGTATTTCTATGGACTAGCGGATGATCATCTGTTTACATCCGTTATTTTGAACAGAAGAAAATCCTATTTTTCTTAAGTTAAAAAAAACACGTAAGGGACAAAAAAACTGATGAAAAATGGATTTCAACGGATGTAAACTGATGAAAAACTGATGAAAAAAATGGATGTAAACTGATGAAAAACAGATGTAAACTAAAGAAAAAAACAAACGTAAACGAATGAAACACGGATGTAAACTGATGAAAAAACAGACATAAACTAATGAAAATGAATGTAAACTGATGAAAAAACGGATGTAAACTTATGAAAAAACAGATGTAAACCGATGAAAAGACGGATGTAAACTGATGAATTAATGATATAAAACTGATGAAAAAAACGGATATAAACTGATGAAAAACGAATGTAAACTGATGAAAAAACAGATGTAAACTGAAGAACAAACTTATGTAAACTAATGGAAAAACAGAGGTAAATTGATGAAAAAACAGATGTAAACTGATGAAAAACAACGTAAACTAATGAAAAACGGATGTAAACTGATGAAAAAAACAGATGTAAACTGATAAATTATGTAAACTGATGCAAAAAACGTATGTAAACTGATGAAAAAATGTATGTAAACTGATGAAAAAAAATGAATGTAAACTAATGAAAAACGGATGTAAACTGATAAATTAATTATGTAAACTGATGAAGAAACATATGTAAAGTGATGAAAAAAACAGATGTAAATTAATGAAAAACGGATGTAAACTAATGAAAATCAGATGTAAATGGATGTTAACGGATGTAATCACATGTGAACAGATGAAAAACGAATGTAAACCGATGAAAAAAAAACATGTAAACTGAAGAAAAAAACCGATGTAAACTAATAAAAAATGGATGTAAACTAATGAAAATCAGATGTAAATGGATGTCAACAGATGTACACACATGTAAACAGATGAAAAACGAATGTAAACTGATGAAAAAACATGTAAACTGAAGAAAAAACGGATGTAAACTAATAAAAAACGGATGTAAACTAATGAAAATCAGATGTAAAAGGATGTCAATGGATGTAAACACATGTAAACAGATGAAAAAACGAATGTAAACTGATGAAAAAACATGTAAACTGAAGAAAAAATGGATGTAAACTAATAAAAAACGGATGTAAACTAATGAAAATCAGATGTAAATGGATGTCAACGGATGTAAACACTGTAAACAGATGAAAAACGAATGTAAACTGATGAAAAAACATGTAAACTGAAGAAAAAATGGATGTAAACTAATAAAAAAATGGATGTAAACTAATGAAAAACAGATGTAAAACTGATGAAAAAACGGGTGTAAACTAATGCGAAAACAGATGTAAACTGATGAAAAAACGGATGTAAACTGATGAAAAATGGAAGTAAACTGATCCGTTTTTGTTTGGAAAAAACTGAACTGATAAAAAAAAGGTAACGCCCGTGTGAAAGGGGCCAAATAGAGATGAGCAAAGGCAGACATGTTTGCAGTCCAAAGAACCAGCAAACACAAATGCTCCTGCGCTTGGGGATGGACTCGATGCAGGCTACAACCACATTAAGAATGTCCTGGAACATGCACACCTTGCTGCCCTCAAATGGACCGGGGGAATCCAAATATACTGAATGGGGAAAGAACAAAAAGAGGGCGCACAGGCCTAGTGCATTACCATAAAAAATGTTTAATAAAAAAATAAAGTAGGTTTTGTACTCACAAAACGACAATATAGTCAAGGCACATCATAAAAGAACAGCTGGATCAACACCGCGCTGAGTAACAGTCCGCAATAGGGAGTTTAGACATCCAAAAGGCTGACGCGTTTCGAGGACTTGCCTCTTCCTCAGAGCCAACTGACCAAATGTCTGCTCCCTCTTTTATATAGTAGTGAGCATATAAAAGAGGGAGCAGACATTTGGTCAGTTGGCTCTGAGGAAGAGGCAAGTCCTCGAAACGCGTCAGCCTTTTGGATGTCTAAACTCCCTATTGCGGACTGTTACTCAGCGCGGTGTTGATCCAGCTGTTCTTTTATGATGTGCCTTGACTATATTGTCGTTTGTGAGTACAAAACCTACTTTATTTTTTATTAAACATTTTTTATGGTAATGCACTAGGCCTGTGCGCCCTCTTTTTGTTCTTTCCCCATTCATGTTTGCAGTCCAGCCTGGGTGACAACCATGGTTCCCTCAATAGATTGTAATTTGCAGGATTACCAGGTGAAAATAAAGGAAATAAAAGAACAAAAACTAATGCAGCCACCACATCTCAGGACTGGTAAGCTATAGTAAGATACATTTTTGGTTACACTTTAAGGACATCACGACACTTACCGACTTCCCGTTCTAAGGACTCTGTAAATAAAAGACGAAACATATCAGTTATTCCAGCGACACACTTTCCTTGTGACCAGGTTTCCCTGACATTGCTCGATGTTTCACACATTGTCAGATTATTAGCCTGAAATCATTTTAAAGACTTTTTCCAAAACCAATATTTCTCTTTTGTGAGAGATTTCTATACAGACAGAACATCTGTGTGATGCATATATATTAGAGACTCTGGGGGTGAGAGGATGTCAGGGATGCCGAATGCAGCCATCCACAGCAGGGATGACCAGATATGATTGAGGCTAGGTTCGCATCTATGCATGTTGGGGTTGATGCGGTGTTCCGGTGTGTTTTGTGTTTGCGAGCATGCATCTTTTTACGTTTTTGATTTGTTTTGCGTTTCTTTCTGCTAAAAGGAAAGTATGACAATTCTGTTCATGTAGTGCGACTTTGATGCGACTATGATGGGACTTTACACTCTCTGGCACTCAAGTAGCAGCAAAGTCGCGTCAATGTCGCACTACATGAACAAAACTGTCATACTTTCTTATTAGCCAACAAATATAAACGCAAAATGCATCATTTGCATTTTTGGTGCGGGTCCTTTGAAGTATATTGTGACGGGAGTGGGTGGGGGGCCCATGGAACACAGCCCCCTTTGGAGAGGTAGGGAAACCCCTTTCTCAGCTCCCCATATCCCTATTATGTGTAAGTCTCCCTGTGCCTGTTAGGGGTACAGGGTGGAATGTCCTGATATTGTGTAGACATGTATAGGTGGGGTGTGGGGGTTGCTCATTGTTTAATGCCATGTTGTTCTATTGTGTGTCTTGCTTGGGAGCAAACTATTATGGGATGTATGTTTGTGTATTGGCTTGGTGGGGGGTGACTGCTGTGTGTCTCTTGTTGCTAAATGTATTGCCCCCGCCCTGTGTATATATCTTGTATCGGTGTTAAAATAAAGCAGTCTATATCCTGTTTTAATACAAGTCTGGTGCTGTCTCGTCTTGTATGGTCAGCGGTGGTGTCCGTGGATCTGTGTTCGGACAGGGAAGCAGGAGTCTAACAGAAATAACCTAGTGCAGTCGGGGGTCCCCGATTCCGTTACATCTATTATATGCAAAACGCAATCTGCTGCAGGAAAAAGTCTTTGACCCTTCCCAAAAAAAATGCACCAGCTCAAAACTCACAAATGTGAACTAGATCCATAGGAAATCATGTTAAATGGGCTGTAGTGCATTTCTGCAAAACACACTAAAAAAATACATAGGTGTGAACCAGGCCTGAAGCAAGTCTATTAACAGTGAAACAAAACCTATCCAAACACCAACGTACAGATATAAGTGAACCATAAGCCGAGTGACAAAATACCTAATTAACGACCTAACTATAATAATATATATAAAATGAGGAACACAGATCAACAGGGTAAAACTGGAGGTGTAAGGAAAAGTCAGGAAGGGGGGGACCAAGACTGGGATCAGAAACAAGGGGGAGCAGGCTCAGGCAGGAACCAGGCTCAGGATCAATTAGCAAGCAGGGCAAAACATTAAAGCACAAGGTATTCGTAGAGGTAGGGGCTAAACACCTCCCAGCAGCCAGCATCGGGTGGAGACTGATTGCTGGGATGTGCTGGGAGACACCCGCTGGTGGACACTGGGACTACAACCTTCTGTTTTGCAAACCATAGTGCCACCAGCAGGTGATACAGGCCCCGATGTGAAGGGGGACTTCTGATGCGGGCATGTGCAAAGGGGGGTTCTGATATGCAAGGGGAGGCTCTAATGTACAAAGGAGGGCTCTGATGTGAGGCAGGACTTTGATATGGTGAGAGGCTCTGATGTGTAGGGGGGGTCTAATGTGAAAGTGTGAAAGGGGTTCTTGGATGCGATGGAGGCTACTGATGTGTAAGATGGGCTCTGTAGTGATGGCAGAGTTTGTGAAGTGTGTGTGTGTGTGGGGGGGGGGGGGGGGGTGAGGAGGAGCCTCTGATGAACAAGAGGATTATATGTGATATACCAACACAAAGTTTGCACATAATTGTGACATGACAGGAAAATGATAAATGGTTTTCAAAACGTTTTTACAAATAAATATGTGAAAAGTGTGGAGTGCATTTGTATTCAGCCCCCTTTACTCTGATACCCCTAACTAAAGTCTAGTGGAACCAATTGCCTTCAGAAATCACCTAATTAGTAAACAGAGTCCACCTGTGTGTCATGTGATCTCAGTATAAATACAGCTGTTCTATGAAGCTCTCAAAGGTTTGTTAGAGAACATTAGTGAACAAACAGCATCATGAAGGCCAAGGAACACACCAGACAGGTCAGGGATAAAGTTGTGGAGAAGTTTAAAGCAGAGTTAGGTTATAAAAAAAAAAAATCCTAATTTTTTTAACATCTCACAGAGCACTGTTCAATCCATCATCTGAAAATGGAAAGAGTACGGCACAACTGCAAACCTACCAAGACATGGCCATCCACCTAAACTGACAGGCCGGGCAAGGAGAGCATTAATCAGAGAAGCAGCCAAGGGGCCCATGAGAACTGTGGAGGAGATGCAGAGATCCACAGCGCAGGTGGGAGAATCTGTCCTCAGGACAACTATTAGTCGCGCATTCCACAAATCTGGCCTTTATGGAAGAGTGACGAGAAGAAAGCCATTGTTGGAAGAAAGCCATAAGAAGTCCTGTTTGCAGTTTGCGAGAAGCCATGTGGGGGACACAGCAAACATGTGGAGGAAGGGGCTCTGGTCAGATGAGACCAAAATGGAACTTTTTGGCCTAAAAGCAAAACGCTATGTGTGGGGGGAAACTAACACCGCACATCACCCTGAACACACCATCCCCACCGTGAAACATGGTGGTGGCAGCATCATGTGGTGGGGATGCTTTTCTTCAGCAGGGACAGGGAAGAAGATGGATGGGATGCCAAATACAGGGCAATCTTAGAAGAAAACCTGTTAGAGTCTGCAAAAGACATGAGACCGGGGGAGGTTCACCTTCCAGCAGGACAACAACCCGAAACATCCAGCCAGAGCTACAATGGAATGGTTTAGATCAAATCATATTTATGTGTTAGAATGGCCCAGTCACAGTCCAGACCTAAATCCAATGGAGAATCTGTGGCAAGACTTGAGAATTGCTGTTCCCAGACGCTCTCCATCCAATCTGACAGAGCTTGAGCGATTCTGCAAAGAAGAATGGGCAGAAATGTCCCTCTCTAGATGTGCAAAGCTGGGAGAGACATCCCCAAAAAGACTTGCAGCTGGAATTGCAGCCAAAGGGGGTCCTACAAAGTATTGACTCCGGGGGGGCCGAAATACAAATGCCGCCACACTTTTCACAGATTTATTTGTAAAAAATGTTGAAAACCATTTCTCATTTTCCTTCCACTTCACAATTATGTGCCACTTTGTGTTGGTCCATCACATCAAATCCCAATACAATACATTGACGGTTTTGGTTGTAACATACCAACATGGGGAACATTTCAAGGGGTATGAATACTTTTTCAAGGCACTGTATGTGTCCCTGTTGTCTATCATACAAGATCATTCTTCTCTTAGAAGTAGAGCACAATGGTCTCTCCCTCTGCAATGCTGCTGCGGTTGAGCGCCACCTGCAGTGGAGAAAATAACTGCACCTGCCTACACAAGCCTTGGGGAGAATGATGTATCTGGGCACTTCACATGCGCAAAAATACTGTGGTCACTGGAAGCCCTGACGGCATTTCTGCACATGTGTGAGGTCCTACAAACTGCCTCCTGGGATTTCCACGTCACATCCCAGGAGGCAGCTTGTGGGATCTTGCGCATGCGCAGAAACAGTGTGGCATCTCTCCCAGGTTACTGTCAGAGCCAATGGTGTTTCTGCGCATGTCTAGGATGTCCGGGGCATGTGGGGATCGGCCAGGTCCCAAAGACCAGGCGGTGTGTCTGTGCATGCGTCAGATCACAATTCAATTGGCGGTTCCAGAGAAGAGCAGCGTAGGGAGCACTTCCCCTACAGACAGGACAACGCTGGACTCCATGGACTAGTGCATATATTTTATTTTATTTTTATACAGGGATGAGTTTTGGGAATATAAAATTTTATTTTTGACAGTAGAGTGGAATTCCGCTTTAACCCCCTATCGCCCAGCCCAAGCGCCTCTTTAATAGGGTCTGTATGCCTGGGGGGGGGAAGGATTGATGATCATGTGACCACTGTGATTTGCAGCATTGGGAGATGTTTGTTGAGAATAATGACAAAAGGCTGTACTGCTCACCGGCATACACATATCTTGCTTGCAGTTGTCTCTCTGCAATGACAAAAATGAAGTTTGTAAAGAGAGGTATCATCTGGTAATAATCGAACATTAAAGTATTACTAAACCCACAACAGTACAATCAGTCTGTATATGCAGTAAAGCCAGGGGCGGACTGACAACTCATGGGGCCCCACTCCCACTCCCTTAAAATTTCAATTTCACCTTCCCATAAGAGTCCCTTCCAGGGGCGGACAACTCATGGGGCCCCACTGACAACACCTCATGGGGTCCCCCAGGGGCGGACAATAGGGGCCCCCGGGCAATAGGGGATCATGGGGCCCCTGTGTCCTTGCCCAAACTCAAAAAAGCCTATGAAAAAGGTACCAAGGGCATCTCATGGGGCCCCCTACTGACCCCAGGCCCTAGTTTCCAAATGGTCAGTCCGCCCCTGAGTAAAGCATGCTTGTTATACTCACTATGGAACCTTTTAGAATTTCTTTATTTATTTTCATCTGGTGGTCCAGACAGCGGGGACAATTCACAAAGTGGTATCTCACCTCATCCAACTATTAGGTAAGATACCGCACAGCATTTCAAAAAAAAAAATGTTGGCATTCCCTAAAAAAATCGCTACTAAAATACCGCATGAGTTAGTCATGGCATGTGAAAACATGAGATAATGTAACGAGTCATCAGCTGTCAGTGGGGAACCCGAGCTCAGTGTAAAAAAAAAAATTGCTGGCCATTCAAAATTACAAAGAAAAACGGCGTGGGGTCCCCCCTCCATCAAATACCAAGCATTTCAGGTTTGGTACGGATTTGTGGGGGAATGACCAGGGCATGCTGAGTCAATGACGTCACAAGGGGGGGCGAGGTCACTCAGCGATGTCACCGGGTGGCCCCACCCCTTAGTTATTTAAGAACTGTCAGATGGCAGGGGCCTTTGTTGAGAACGGAGCCTTTTTTTTTTTTCGGGCCACTGTAGGGCAAAAGGCATCGTGATTGACGATGGAACTACACTGAGGAATTTTTTTTTGTTTTTTTTTTTTTTTTAATAATAAAGAAAAAAAAAAGGTCCTGTGTTTTTTTACACTACACTTTTTTTGTGAATGAGTAGGGGTACCATGTGCCACATACTCATTCACATAGGAGGGCCAGGATCTGGGGGCCCCCTTGCTAGCCTCCCTCCCACAGCTCACACAACCACTGACCAGGGTTGTGGGGAAGAGGCCCTGGGGGACAAGGTGCTTCGGGGGGGGGCAGAGCCATAAACTACCCTCCCACTATGTTGAAGGCATGTGGCCTGCTATGGTTCGGGGGGGAGGGGGCTCGCTTGTCCTCCTCCCTTCCTGACCCGCTGGGCTGCATGCTTGGATATGGATTTTGGGGGAACCCTACACCATTTTTTTTATTTTGGCATTGGGGTTCCCCTCAAAATCCATAACAAACCCAAAAGGCTTAGTATGGATGGGGGGGAACCCACGCCATTTTTTTTTTCTTAATTTTTAATTTCCAGCAATTCTTTTTTTTTTTTAATTCAGCTTTCAACTGGGAACCCCGCTGACAGCTTGAGTCATTGGTTGTTTAGGGCACGGTGGCCTCCAGCTCCTTAACAACCAGTACATACCGCATGCCTCGACCACTACTTAATTACTGCATGGATTTCATTATTTATTTCCTTCTGTGAATTGACTTTAAAGTATTTTGATGTGGCATTTACCGAGCGTTTTTGCTACTTGTGGTAAATACCACATTCTAACAATAGTGAATTGACATTTTCAGTATCACATGCGATATGTGGTCACTTGACAAACATAACGCAAGCGATAACCTTTAGTGAATTGTCCCCAGTAAATCTGTTGCTTTTTAAAAGAACAAGATCTTCAGAACAGATGTATCAGTTACAGGGATGGGACAAACCATTTTCCACTGACAGGGGTGCTTACAATGGTCAGCTTTTATTTATTCATGTAAAGCCTTATTCCCAAAAGGAAAATAAAATGTTGCTGTAACTGCTTATAAAACGTAAGCTAGAGTTTGGATTCAATTTGTTAGTGTATCTAAATCTGCTAATACATTTTACGTCCCCATACCCCCTGACTAAATGACAGTACTGATGTCCAAAAGTGCCCCCTGTGCTCCTTCATCCAGAGTGGGGGCACTCTAACACAGGAGGTGTTTTACTGGCCAGATCACCAAGTGAAAACACACTAATGCAGCCATCACATCTAATGATTGATAAGCTGCATTGTATTAAATTTTTGGGTTTAATAGCATGTTAATAACAGCCAGTGAGGGGAATACAGGAGGAGGGGTTTGGGGAGGGAGGGTTGGTGATTCAAAACACAAAACTACATTAATCCTGGTTCCTCGCAGTGCCCCCAGTCACTGTGCTGCTGTTCTATCTGAGCCAGAGTGAAAGAACGCACTCCTGATCACGCTTTAGACATGCAAGTTCCAGGGAGTGAGCTGGCCTTTGGATGGTGTAGACTTTAGCTAGACAGTCTACTCTTCAGTTGCTTGATTACATTTACATATTAAATCTTCTTCTGGAACAGTAATGAAGCAACTGATCAATACAACTAAAATCTGAACTATCCAGTTGCCAGCATGGAGAAACATACTCATCTAATGGGATGCCAGGATGTGTTCTTTCACTTGGGTTCATTACTTACATTTGTAGTTTCTGCTCTGAGTGCTTTAGGAATGCACCCCTACAAAAGGAGATATTGAGAGAGCAGAATGAATTGTAGACACAGACATAAAGCAAATGAATGAAGAAGATCTCTGGAACAATTTTAAGGTATTTAAGGGGAATAATTGTACACAGAAAATCTAAAGCTCTAGTCTAGGATGAAACCATTGGGATTAGAAACTTGAAGCATATATGGATATTTGTGTTTTTTTTGAGCTGAATACTTAAAAATTAAAGTTTCCTAACTGAGCCTTAATCTCTCTTTATGTAGTTTGTCAAATTTCCCCTTTCTCTATAACAGCTTCCAATTCATTGACACTATGGTGGCTCTGTGTCCCCCGCTGTACAAGGAGGGGGCTGACTTAATGAAAATCCCCCCTATCAGCCTCTCTAAGCACAATGGCCATATTTCAAAGGCCATGCAGTGCATACAGGTTTCAAAAAGTTCTCCCAGTTAAATCTGTACATAAGGACCGCAAATCATGAACCTGCAGGATTCGCTTCAATTCCAAGGCGATAGTGAAAGGAAAAGCAGCACAGCGGTGAACCCATCTATTACTTTGCTTTCTCTCCCTATCAGAATGCTTCATGTCAGCACATGAATTGATTGGCTCTTTTTATGCTTCTCCCTCTCCAACTCTGCTGTACTGTGATGCAGTAGCGTAGTTTGGGGGGTAGGCAGCTAGGGCAGTTGCCCCAGGCACAAAATTTAAAGGGGCGCAGAAATCAGTCCCTGCACCGTCTCGAGCCCTACACTGTGTCCGACCATCATTCTGTGTCCGATGATGGCAGTGGCTGCCAGGTGCCCAGGACTGTGCTGCTGCTGCTTCCCCAGGCCAGGCCCAGATTCCCCACAGTGCTTTCACCTGGGACCCCTCCAATCAGTTCTGGGTCCTCTGCAGCTCCCGCTATGGCCGGCTACGTCTAGGGGAGGAGGAGGTGGCACACAGCTCACACTGGACACCCCACCAGTCTGATCCTGGCCAGAACATCGGGGGGTGTGGGGGGATGTGATCGGAGCACTGCTTTCTCTTTCTTTCTTGTTTTAGCTTACTCTTTTTTCTTTCTTTTTCTTTTTCTGTTTCTTTTTTTTCTCTTCTCTTTCTCTTTTTTCTCTCCTCTTTTTCTCCCTCCTTCTCCTTCTCCTTCCGCTTCCACTTCTCCTTCTCTCTCTTTTTCTCTCTCCTCCTTCTTCTTCTCCTACTCCTTCTTCTGATTCTCCTTCTCTTCCTCCTTCCCCTTCCCTTTCCCCTTCCCCTCCTCGTCCACCTCCTCCTTCTCTCCTTCTCCTCATTCCCCTTCGTCTCCTTCTCTTTCCACTTTCACTTCTCCTCCTTCTTCTTCTCCTTCTCCTTTTCCTTCTCCTTCCACTTCCCCTCCTACTCCTTCTTCTCCTACTCCTTCTCCTCTTTCTCCTTCTCCTTTTCCTTCACCTTTTCCTTCTCCTTCTTCCACTTCCCCTCCTTCTGCTTTTCCTCCTATTCCTTCTCCTCTTCCTGCTCCTTCTTCTTCTTCTCCTCTTCTCCTTTTCCTTCTCTTTCCACTTCCCTCCTCCTCCTCCACCTCCTCCTTCTCCTCATTCCCCTTCTTCTCCTTCTCCTTCCACTTCTCCTCCTCCTCCTCCTTCTCCTTTTCCTTCTCCTTCTCCTTTTCCTTCCTCCTTCCACTTCTCCTCCTACAAGGAGAAGGACTCCCTCTTCCTGCTCCTTCTTCTTCTCCTCCTTCTCCTTTTCCTTTTCCTTCTCTCCTTTTCCTTCTCTTTCCACTTCCACTTCCCATCCTTCTCCACCTCCTCCTTCTCCTTCCCCTTCCCCTCTTCCTCCTCCTCCACCTCCTCATTTTCATTCTTCTTCATCTCCTTCTTCTTTCCCTTTCCCTTCCACTTCCACTTCCCCTCCTTTTCCTTCTCCTTTCCCCTTGCCCTTCTCCTTCTCTTTCAGTCATTCTCTTGTTAGGGGGCAGAATGACTTGCCTTTCTTGGGCCCTGACAGACAATGCCACACCACTGCCATGATGGCAATAGACTGATACCAGGCCAAATTCAGGTGCTTACATTTGCTTGCATGTAAAGAAAAAATACATTTAATAATGTCTTATGATTACAGAGCTCCATTCATTTATATCTTCTACATCTGCCTGGAGTTCAACTTTAAATGTAGCTTCCTGTGATGCAATGCAGCTACCTGATAATTAATGTGCTGCTGGTCTTGGGGGCGAGTGCAAGCTGCTGACTCACATAATTGAATAAATGCCGGTGATCAGCATCACTGCACTATCGAGAGGCCCTCGTCTGCAGGGGCATACAGCTTACGGCCTGCCTACAGTAATACAAATGGGGCTTCTCTTTACCAAACTG